GCGGCAGAGGAGAGCTGAGCTGTGGACTTCTGGGCCCCCAGCCAGGGTGTGGAGGGGCCATGGGGTGAGTGCTGCTGCTACTGCTGAGAGCTTCCCTGAAGACCTCCCTAGGCCTGTGAGTGTTGCTCTTCCAGGCTTCTCCCCACAGCCCCTCCCTGCTATGTCCCCTAACTTGTTGGTCCCTGTTCCCCCCTCCCTAGAGATCTTTTGAGTAGAGTAGAGCAGGAGGAGCATGAAGCCTGCGCTGTGTAGCAGGCCCTAAGAGACAGGCCCGACCCTGCCCCTGCTGCTGTTGGGAGTCACCTACCCCCTTCCCTTGGATTGGATTGGGATTTCCTGCTCCTTTCCCTTTCCACACTGTTCCCTACAATCTGAGTTGAGGCACCTTCCTCTGTTGCTGAGAAATGGGAAAAAGTTGCCCACCGCCTCTGATACAATCCAGTGAAAAGGGTGGGGTACAGACCCGCCTATCATGTTCTTGAACAATCAGGTTTCTAAATAAAGAACTGGACCATTACTCCATCAATCTTCTTTTTCTTTTGTGGGGGGCTGGGCTGTATAGGTGGGGTGGGGGCTCAAGTAGGGAGGAGGCTTGGTGCTCTCTTCAGGGCAGAGCACATGGTCTCATCCTGTTCTGTGCTCCACTCCTCCCAGGTGGTATCAGTGGGGGCCTGGATTACAGAGGCGGCCAGGGCAGATAAGCAGGCCAGCCCAGTGGCCTGGCAAGGACTGAAACACCTACGGTCCTGTCATTCCCTCCTTTTCCTCATCTGTCCATTTCTGTTCCTTCTCTTCTCCCCCTTTACTTCCCGAAAGCCAAATGCACACCAGTGTTAGCCCCCCACGGGGCTTCCCCCTCTGCTGAACTCTCCCTGTTGCATGCTGCAGATCCTGTTGGCCAGCCACAGCCCATCCCCACCTGCCCACACCACTCCACATCTCCCAGAAAAGACCTCTGCCTTTGGCCATGCCCAGAGAAAGGGCTGCTGCCCACACCGGCTAGTTTCCTAGTATGCCAAGGGTAGGTGGCCTGGGGAGATGTCCCCACCTCTTCCTCATTGCCAAGTGCAGATGTGGATTCACCCAACCTCGCCTTTCTCTCCATCTCTGAGGTGTACAGCCTTCCTGCTGAAGACTCTCCACTGACTCACAAGGTAAGACAATAGCTAGATGGCATGAACTCCCAGGTCTCCAAAAATGGAAAGTGAGATTCGTTATTGTTGAAGGAGGTTGTATGAGACTGACCCTCTTCTTGCTGTGTGCTTATTGCGCATGTTACGCTTAAATTGTTTTACTTAGAAATGTAATGGGTAGATGTATAAAACCCTGCTTCCCCAGATCCATTTGTGTATCTTGGTACATGCCCTTGACCGGAATCGAACCAGGGACCTTTCAGTCCGAAGGCCGACACTCTATCCACTGAGCTAAACCGGTTTTGGCCCATTTGTGTATCTTGAAGAGAAGGATGCTTCACTTGTGCAAAATCAGAGACACAGCCTCAAGGGCAGCTGTAGTCAGCATGCTGGGTTCAAATCCTCACCCCGCTTACGATCAGTGGAACCTTGAACAAGATATCTCACTTTTCAAGTGCTGTTTCCTCGAGGGTAAATTATGGATAATTATACCGGCCTTGTAGGGTGGTTTTGAGGATTGAATGAGATAGTATGTGTCATGCTTTTAGCCCAGTCTCTGATCCACAGTAAGTGCCGAAGAGACTGGATGGAGGCAAGAGCCTTAGAAGGAATCCCAAAAGTTGATCAGAAGTCACAATAGAATCTTTTAGGATGTGAGGTAGGGAGAAGCTGGGGCAGGAGGGTTACTGATTTGATGCAGGTGGAGTCTTATCAGAAAACAGAGTTCTAGAATCCTCATTAGGTTTAATCATATTGTACTTCTGATATAAATTCTTCTACTTTCCTTTGGCTGTTGGTGAAAATCCCATGGAGGAGGTTGGTCTGCCCCAGCTGTGCTAAGGCAAATGAAAGGGGAATGGAGCAGGGTGTGTGGCAGATGGCAACCAGATGGGGTGGGAACGGGGAGGGCAGATGGTAGTAAGAATCGAGGTAAGGACACCCAAGGCAAGTTGGGATGGTGGCATGGGTATCAGCTCTCCTTCAGCCCCACAGGGAGTTCCCTGACATCACCTGGAGGGCATGATATGTTGTCACCCACCCACTACCCCCCTTTACATCTCCAACCAAACCAAAGACGCAGCCCATGAAGAAAGAATCCTGTGGGTTACTCAGGGTTGGGATTTGCTGACACCCTACCTTTCACTGGCTGGATATGAAAGAAACTTACCCCTGGCCCGTGATCCCTTTAGTAATTCCCTTCTCTCCAGGGTCCCTGTCCCCTTCCCATACTCTCTCTCACTGCTGAGCTTCTGAGGAAGGGAGTAAGCTTTTGCCACCAAGAAGGAAAGGAGATGAAGTGGGGGAATCCAGGGTCTTTGAGCTGCAAGAATGGCCAGGTCTTCTAGTTGAGTCTTCTTTGCCACTTGCCCCTCTTCCTCTCCCTTTGCCTTCCCAAATCACACGACTGCATCTGCATTTTCGATGCACTGCACCTCTGAATCCATCTTTTCAACCGAGCATGCTGACTACAGCTGTCCTTGATTGGGCTACTGTGCCGGGTGATCACCCAGCCCAAGAAGCTGCAGAACCAGGGCCTCCATGTGGATGGGACCTGGGCCCATTGCTGTAACCACATCTAATTAGCTTGGTGGCTCACCTGCAGCTGAATGTCCATCATGGGGCTGAGAGCCGGCACCAACTCTACTGGAAGACAATGGGCCATTGACTGGTCCATCAAGGTGATGACAACATGTGGGTGGCTGTGCCAAGCCTGTGTTGGCTGCTGGCCCAATACCACCCCACCCAGCCCTCTCCCAGGGCAAACACTTTGGCTGCACATGAAGAACGAACAGCAGAATTGGCTACATGCTAAGCAAGTGCTGCAGCTGTTGGAGGCAGCACTGGCCATAGGATGCTATGGCCTCCCTGGTCCTGTGGATGATGTGAAAGTGGGCAAATGTCTGCATCGACTGGGCATGGATTTCATGGACATCAGGGACTCTGCTGTTGGGATATCTTGTACCTCTTCCCTCTTGGCCAAGAGAAGGATCCTGCTGTAATAAGCTCTACTTCCAGTACCAGGTGCTCAAGGTGAGCAGGCTAGCCTGGGACAGTCTCCCATGGGCTGGCCCTAGAGGCCCTTACCAGGTGCCCAACCAACACATACCACTCAGGTAACCTAACCAAGGCAACCTGGCTACGACGTGGAGGGCCTAGTTTCAAAATTAGATCTGACTCCAAAATTCCTGCTCTTAACCAAAACTACCCCATCCTCTCACTTCTCCAAGCAGCCCCCACTCCCTTCCTTCCTCTAAACTCCTTTCCAGAACTGGGGTCATCTTGGGAGTCACTTCTCTGCTCCCTGGATCCCCACTGTTGCTCTGACCTGCCTGGCTCCTTCTACATGAACCCAGAACTCTTGTACACGATGGAGTATCTGACCCACCACCTCGGTGCCCTTAGAGACTGGGGGTACCCTGCCACCAGCCACAGCAGGAGGCACCCTCTCGGGGTGGCCCTCTCCCACCTCCAGTTCCCCACCTTGCCCAAGGCCATTCCCTGACCCACTTCTTCAAGAACAGACCAGCAGCTCACCCCCTAGACAAAATCATTTCCTCTTTAATTGCTGTTGAAGAAGATTCACACCACCTGTCTCTGAGGAGATGGGGGCAATGCCCCCTCCCCTTCCCAATTACCTGGTCCTTTGCAAAATATTTTAGCCAGAAAAAAAAAAAAAAAAAGACCGGAAACCACTGACACAGAGGACCCAAGGGCTGGGTTGACTGAGGGAGGCAGGGCTGGGCCAGGTAAGTGCACCCCACCACCCATTTTCTGGGGGTAGGGCAGGGGGCCTGGAAACCCTCCCAGCCGCCTCACATCTTCTTACCCTGGCTGGGAGGGATCATGGAGTTGAGGGGTGGGTCTGGAGAAGCTCCAGTGGGAGGGAGGGGCTGTATATGAAAAATAGTGGGAGAGGGGTCCCATTGTAGGGGTGCCCCCACCCCAGATCACCACGGGTGCTGCACAGTCACAGGTACGCAGTCACGGTCACAGACACTCACAACCCAAGAGCACCCCCACCCCACCCCACCCTCTTCCCACCCTTGGCTTTCCCTACCCTGAATCACCCTCCCCAAGCCCCTGCCCACCCCTGTCCCCTTGTTGGGGAACAAAGCAATAAATTACAAGGCCGATACCCAGCCCCCTTAGCCTGCTCCTGCTCCATCCCTTCTCCCTCCTAAGATAGTAGTGAGGAGGGACCCAGGCTCTTGGCTCCCCCAGCCCTTTAGCTTCCATCCATGGGTGGCTTTAGGGGGACGTCTTGATTTCCACTCCTCATGGTCCCTTTCACGGAAAGGGTTGGGGACCCCCCTACCCCTCATGGGCAGCAGGGGTCCTGCCCCTCGCTGCCCTTCCCCTTCACTGGGCAGTGAGATTAGCATGGAAGGGGTGGGGTCCCTTATTGGCCCCAAGTCCCGGGGCTAGCCCTCCCCGAATTAAGCCCTCCCTCTGGCGTGGCGTCGCCCCAGGAGCCAGCCTGGGGATGTGCTCCAGGCCTGGGGATTGTCAAGCACAGGCAGGACTGGAGCGTTCCCCCGCCCTTGGGGGGCGCGAGTGGGCATGGTTGGCCCCGAAGCAGGGAAGCGCGGGCGTCCCCTTCCTCAAACACCAAACGGGTAGACCCAGAGCCATCCAAGGGAGCAAATAGCGGAGAGGGGGCGTGTTGAGCGGGGTCTCCATGCCTCGTTGGGGAGAGGGAGGTGAGTTTGTGTCTTCTGGGGGGCGTGAGGGCTGTGCCTTCGTCGGGGGAAGAAGTGCTCTCATGGGGCGGGGGGCGGATTGGAGTGGTGAGTGGGTGCATCTGTCCAGCGGTCCACCCGGTGCGGTCGTGCCCGGCCCGTGGGGGTGTCTCCTCCCCGCTGGGCACTAGACCAGCGCGACGGGGGGCGTCGGCGCGCCCATGCTGCGGCGCTGCTTCCGGCGGCGGGGCTGGGCGTGGCGAC